TCTCTCTCTCTCTCTCTCTCTCTCTCTCTCTCTCTCTCTCTCTCTTTCTCTGCCTTGGTCACACACGCACGCTCGCGCGTGGAAATCGACCAACCAGTTGCAGCTTATTTGAAATGGACTCGTTTTCATGGCTTCGAGCCGCAGGGAAAGACATACGTACCGTGGGCGTCTGCGTTCACTCCCTCCTCTTTCACAATCTCGCCCCTGTGCTCCCAGGTCGAGTATTAAAGGCCCCTGACAGCAGCAGCCGCGGTGTATTTGCATATCACCTGCGACGATAAGCGATGTTGTCCTGTTTGCGCGCACCTAGCGCTGGTGACATGCGCGTGCACGCACGCACGCAGTTCGTCTGCGCGCTCTACCACGAGCGATAACGCCAGAGAGCGTGTATGCGAATAAGCTAGTGGGGGACCGAGCTATGGCGGCCATGTTCATATTTGCTTAGCGATTACGCGTCGAGCGTTTTTCCCGTGTTACCGTCTGTATGTATGTACACGTACGACGTATTGCCGCACGCACGCACGTTTCTCACCTGTCGGTTGTCACGCTATACATCCATCCACGCCCGCGCGCCCCTGGCTCCATCTATAATACTCATATTATGAAATATATTAATTATATTATTACTAATATAATATTATTACATCATGCTCAATACATTCGCGATCATGTGGCGCTCGATTTCTCGCCGACTCTTCCATGTGAGATTAATGTTACTATCTATATAATGTTACTCTAATGATCAAGCACCTACGATAGCTCAGGTGATGTCACCTGACTAGGTAATGTTAACTTATCTGGCTTAGACAAACGGACTGCGGAGAAGACCGCTGGCGCCTAGATTAGACTAACGTATCTCTACGTCGAATACGATTTATACTCTATAATTGAATAAGTTATGTAGAACTCGCTTCTTGCTTTATGTTTCAATAATTGGTTCCTGTGTATAGAAATCTCTTCTTACTGTATGGTTCAATAACTCATCTACATATAGAACTCAATCTTTGCTCTATGTTTCCAATAACTAATAACTTTTTGTAGAAATATCTTCTTGCTCTATGGTTCAATAACTTATTTATCTGTAGAAATCAATCATTGCTCTATGGTTCAATAACTGATAACTTTTTGTAGAAATATCTTCTTGCTCTATGGTTCAATAACTTATTTATTTGTAGAAATCATGCAATCATTGCTCTATGGTTCAATAACTGATCTCTATTTAGACATTACTCTGTGCTCTATGCTTTAATAACTATCTAACCTCGACTAACTCTTGTTGAAAATTCGACTTATGTCAGGACGACTATTTTACATCGACTACGAATTTTCCTTTCGCGTGTATTTGATAATTTTCGATAGCGGACGAAACGAAATACTGTACGGAGCCGTCTCCGCCGTGCGCGCGCGCGTGCGTGCGTGCGTGCGAGCGCGCATGTAAGTGTGTGTGTGTGTGTCGCGCGCATATTTGTTTAACGTAAACAGGTGCTTAAGGTACGTTAACTAATATAGGTGGGTACCTGGCAATGACCACGTGTTTGTTGTGTAAACGCCGCGCCAGATAGCGTGTGTGCGCCACACACGGGCTTAACCCGTCTCGCTCGCACTTCGTATTGTTGGGGCTGGCGCGCCAAGTACTGTTTGAATTTTGACCTGGACTTTTAGCTTCAAATGGCCGCCGTGGACTATTGATCTGCTACGGTTAGAATAATGAACAATCCTCGGACTTTAGACGCTGCACAACCTTTAGACCAGTTTGACGGTATGTATAACAAAACCAGACGTGCTGGCTTTACGGCAGGCCAATAGCGCTCCCATAGAGCTTACGGCCGGAAAGTCCATCGTAGATCAGTCGTGCTGCCGATGCCATAATTGTTACGATCTTGATGTAATTAGTATTGTACGTGTCGTCGCGGTGCCGACTCCGGCGAGTCCTGAGTCGTCGAAAAAGATGGCGGTCGTCGGTTGCGACGGGAGTAAGCCGACACTGATAATGTAAGCTCATCAAATCGTTTTTCGTTCGTTGAAGGGAGATAATAGAATGCCAGCGAGAATGCTAGAAGACAAGAGTAGAGAGAGGGTGAAGTAGCGAGCGTCTGAACGGTGGTTGAACGAGTGTGTGTGTGTGTGTGTGTGTGTGTGTGTGTGTGTGTGTGTGTGTGTGTGTGTGTGTGTGTGTGTGTGTGTGTAGTATAGTAGTAGTAAG